TCTTGCATCGCCAGAGGGTATCCTCCATATCCAACCATCCCCATCAGTAGTACTCGGCTAATAACACATGGGCACCAGTATGCCACATCAACCACTAAAAAATAAAAATGTGCAATGTAATATTTATTTTGTAATATAATATCATTAGGTAATAACTATAATCTTTCTTCTTTAATACATGTATATAGGCATTACTTGCTTGACCTACTTCTACATTTGATGCGTCAAATCTCCACACACACTTTCCATTACTGCACTGCCAGACCTGTACAAGGCCTGCTAGATCTGATGTCGCTAGATACTTGTCGTCGTGACTGAAACAGACACAAGTAACTGACTCCGTATGACCTTTAAAAAAACAAACAAAAGAAAATTATATGTACAATACAAATATACGTACAATGCATACATTACATAAAGAGCTTTAGTAAAAGAGCAATAAAGCATTATAATAATTTTGAGATATAATTTAATTAGTAATATATATAAGTAATTTACCATTGCATTCAAAAACCACATTCTTATCACTTGTGCTCCAGACCAGAGCTCTATCATCTTGACTACCAGATGCTACCAAACTTGCATTGGAATTAACATCGATTGCAAATACTGGACCTAAGGTATTATTTTCTACAATATAAATCCTCCCATTATATAGTTCTACCTCTGTGTTCATTTAAACAGGTAATGGAGTCATCGCGTAATGGCTGTATTACCATTACACCCATACTATACTCATCATCCGAGCCATCTTTGTCACGAGAAAGCTCTACTCCATCTAAATCAGCCTCTAGATCTACATACATGTATATTTGTAAGAGATACAAATCATTTTTAAATGGCATAATGAGTCTTTTAGGTTTCTTTTACCTTCAATGGGTTGCTCTTCTCCTTCACTTAGAGAGATGACTTCCACAACGTCATCTTCACAAAGTTCTTGATCATTTTCCTCATCATCCATGCTTCGCTTTGCACGTGTGGCAGCACCCGCAGCAGCCACGCCTTTGCATAATCATAATAATCATTGTCACTAATAATGCATCAAATCATTAAATCAATCAAAATTAAGTTTATTGTACATCAAACCCGATTAAAATAGTCAATCATGGCAGCATTCTTAAACTTGTCTTCCTTGATCAAATCCATTAGTTTATTGATTGATTCGGCCACAGTGAGAACTTTGTTATTACGATAAAGGTTTTCTGTGCCAGCTTTAGTTGAAGCAAAACCAGCCTCATTCTTGACAGCAAGAAGCATGTCAGTATCACAAGGACCAGGGCTGTAGCTCAGCATCCTAACGTCTGGATGCTCAATAGTCAATCCTTCAAGAAAAACATTCCTAGCTGCTTTTACTGATGCGTAAACAACACCGCCACCAAAAGGCATCTTTGCAACAATTGATGACATGTTCATGATGAATCTTGGTCCAGTTTTGATGCAAGAGAGGAAGCGTGTGGTTAGAATCCACATTGAAGTATAGTTAGCAGTGAGATATTGAGCAATGGCAGCAGGATCAGTTTGATCTGCAGTAGGAGTAGTGATATCACCCAGGGAACCAGCATTGTGAAAAATGGCTGCTTGGTTGTATTTTTCAGAGCTATATCCAGCCAGTATTTTTGAGGATGTGTCAGATAAGCAAGCAAGATCCCCAAGGTCAGCTGGGACAATGGTAACACTGACAGGACTTGATTTGGCTATCATTTCTTTAGTTTCCTCGAGTTTAGAAACATTACGCGAGACAAGAACAATAGTAGAGCCCGTAGCAGACCATTCTCGTGATAACTGGATTGCTAACTCTCTTCCTAAACCACCACTGGCCCCAGTTACAATGCAATATGTTGATCTAGTGAAGAAAGCAGCCATGATGTTGATGTTAAATGGAAGACACACCCTAAATAAATTTATCATTATAGAATAGTCATCAATCAAAATAGTCAATGATGGCAGCATTGTTAAACTTGTCTTCTTTGATCAACTCCATCAGTTTGCTAATTGAATCAGCTACACTGAGAACTTGGTTATTACGAACAAGGTCTTGGAAGCTAGCTTTAGTCAAAGCAAA